CACTTCTTGGCTAATTGCTTTGTTGTAACTCTACTAGGCAGTCTCGAAGGAGCGGGCACAAAATCGTCCCTCTTGTTGGTTTGAATACTAGATCCTTCGCAGGAACTATCTCCAAACTCACCAACCCTATTTGATTGGACGGGACCGCTGCTCGTTTGCTGACTGGCGAAGGAGCCGGGGCGAGGGGAGAAAGTCCCATGATTGCATTGGCGGGAACCACACGCAGGCTCATAGCTCTCATACGATTCCAAAAGTCTTGTTCTGGGATTTATCTCGCCCTGAGACGGAAAATCCGTGCGCTTTCCCCATGTATCCCGGTTGATATTGGCTGGCGGTGGAGAAGGTGAATGACGTTGAGCTTGAGTGGGCCAGCCATGACTGTCACGAAGCGACGACGTCTGTTGAAGTCTTGCGGGGTCAATCTCGGACATTGTGTCCCCAGATTCACAAACCACTGACTACTAGCCCGGATCTGGACACCTGGATTGTTAGGGAAGTTGGGAATTTGGAGGTTCTTGTTCTTGGATTGTGGATGTGAAAATCGCACTGATGTCCTACAGCCCAACTAGTGAGCGAGGACGAGATGTGAGTGGAGCATGAACTGAGTTTCAGAACATAGATTGTCGTGAAATTCATTGGACGCAGGCAGACCAGAGGAAGTATTCTCTACCACTGGTAGGACTTTGCATGGTTGGTAGAAACAAAGATGCAGCTATATAAGCCGGAATGAACAGACTTCGATTCCTGAGCTCACCGTCGTCGCGAGATGATGGTCAACATCATCCATGGCAATAAATAGTTATCTTAGCTCGGTTAGGCCAAGAGCGCGATCTGATGACATAAGCAGACAATCAATCACCTGAATTCTCCCGTTTTTGCGGCCACAAAAAAACGAACTAGCAAGTGTCATAGTAGAGGTCGCCAGATCTTACAGCGCAGTACATCCTCCTGTTTTGTTGATGTCTGTTTTTAAAGCAGATAACAACTCCCACACCGTCTGATTCTCAATTCTGGGCCATTCCCATTAGCCGTGAACTCCCAAGAGAGTCTCAATTCCTTACCTCTCTCCCCTGTCCACAGTCCACCTACCTACAATAGGCACACTCCGCCCACCATGTCGTTAACAAACTGCCGCTTTTACGAGGAGAAGTTCCCGGAGATTGATAGTTTTGTAATGGTGAACGTGAAGCAGGTATGTCTCAAAAGAAGATAATCTGCAACCATATGCGGTGTTGCCGAATGCCAGTCTAACATACCCCGCCAACAGATTGCAGAGATGGGCGCATACGTTAAGCTGCTGGAATACGACAACATCGATGGAATGATATTGCTATCGGAGCTGTCGAGACGACGTATCAGAAGTATACAAAAGCTTATTCGAGTGGGAAGAAATGAAGTCGTGGTAGTTCTTCGTGTGGATAAGGAGAAAGGTATGTCATTGACAAAAACCCTCTGGTTCCTCATGGCTTCTGCTGTTGTTCACAAACCAATTGATTGTGCGTACGACATTGCGAAACAGGTTATATCGATCTGTCGAAACGAAGAGTATCCCCGGAAGATGTCATCAAATGTGAAGAACGATACAATAAGGGCAAACTCGTTCACTCAATCATGCGCCACGTTGCGGAGAAGACCAAGACTCCAATGGAAACGCTCTATTCGCAAATTGGCTGGCCACTGAACAAGAAATATGGACATTCCATTGATGCCTTCAAACTTTCTATCACGTATGACTATCGCCCAATCGAAGGAGATTGTTTCGTTTCCTCCCCCCCAAATGATGATGAAAAATAGGAATCGTGGCTAACGGGACCAAAATTCAACTCCTGCGCAGAAACCCGAGTGTCTGGGATGATGTAACATTCCCGAGTCAGGTGGTTAAGGATGAACTCCAAAACTATATTAGCAAGAAGCTCACTCCACATCCAACTAAAGTCCGTGCAGATGTCGAAGTGACTTGTTTCGGCTACGATGGTATCGATGCTGTGAAGGATGCTCTTCGGACTGCAGAATCAAATAACACACAAGATGCACAGGTCAAAGTTAAGCTTGTGTCACCCCCGCTCTACGTGCTAACTAGCCACTGTTTGGACAAGAACCATGGAATCTCTGTGCTGGAGGAGGCGATCAAGAGCATCAACACAAAAATCCGGGCTTCTGGAGGGGCCTGCGTGGTCAAGATGGCGCCCAAGGCTGTTACGGAGCACGATGATGCGGAATTGCAAGCTCTCATGGAGAAGAGGGAGCGGGAGAACCAGGAAGTTAGCGGAGATGAGGATATGAGCGAGAGCGACGAGGGCATTGTCGATGCGTAAACACTACGAGCAAAAATTTGACGATTTGCTCTTGTCTTATTTTTCTTTTTCGGTCTCCTTGTTATACCATTTCCAAAGGCTGTTTGTCACGATTCTACGGGTTTGATGACCAGCCGTGATTGCGATGCTTTTTAGGGGGGATAACGGTAGATAAAAGTTAAAAATCAGGACAGCTTCAATTTGTGTGTTCTTTGTGCACGGATACCCACAGATCGACCTGATGTTGACTTTTCTCGCAACTCATACTCTTGTAGATAGTTAACTCGCGGTTAGTTAACTATGGCTGCGTGTGTCTTTCAGGAGCTCCAAGACCAACCAACCTACGTAGTGGTGATACAAAAGTCTGTTTGCATCAAGATTCCCAACCAACAGGACTGAAAATGGGTCCATTTATAACCAAGCCCCGTGGCGAATCGTGCCGACAAATAACAAGGAATAGTTACCTCTGTTTGTTGTGGTGGCTGGCTGTAGCTCTTGTCAACTCAGCTTTAACTGGGAGCTAGTTCCTCCAAGTGTCTGGACAATCCCCGCAACAGTTGGCTTAAGTTACAGATCAGAGCTCATCCCCATCGAAATCGCCTCATCTTGCCTACCCATGACCAGGAGATCGAAATGGCTACCCATTGAAGAGGACGAACTACTCTACTCCCCTTTCTCGTCCCCAGCGATAACCATACCAATCTTCAATTTCCACCTCCAAGCCGTATCCGTGCAATAACTGCTCAATCATGGTGCGGTGGGGAAATCTGTTAGGTGCTGACCATCGTCATCGAGCCCATCGGGAGCTCTATGAAGGACGCAGATGTAAGTGGTTTCCCCGGCCTCCTACATAGCTATTTCAATTTGCTGCAGACAGCTCTATTTTCATTCTCTGTCTCTGGTAGAGAAGGTCGTCCTTGCACAAGTAAAGAAGAGAAAGCAAGAAATTGACAGTTAGCTGTGAACAGTACTCCCTGTGCGACGCAATGAAGCCTTACCACCGGCATTGCCAGCGAAGGAGGTCACCAAAGTAGCCCTCCGCTTGAAGTACCAGATCGAGCAGGTTATCCCCTGCGAACTCGACGAAGATTCTGTAACCAAGGCCAATAGCAACATTCTCACCAAGGCCGTCATCCAGACCACACGTGAAGCGGTGGTGAGGAGAACAAGGCTTGTGTAGTGTACTGCCTGCTTGTCTG